ACCAGAAATGGCCTGGAAATAGAAGGTGATGAAACAAACGAAATGTCAGTTTTTGGCCAAAATTAGCAAAAATTATGAATCATTGAGCAAATAGGTCACGAGTAAACCGGGGGAAAAAAAGTTTTTTTTTTTCCTTCAAACAATTTAACAGCAAACATTCACTAATTTTAAACTGGCCTCAATGACAAAAAATAAAGAGAGGCCAAAAAGGGCGATTTGACAAGAAGGTCTGACAATAATATAACCACCAAATATGGTGATCTTTTAAAATTTGGTTTGTTTCATCACATTTTATCACCATGGTAATAAACAGTACTTGTTTGTTGGTGTATTGTAAAGCATTAAAGTGTATTGGGAGGGTTAATGAAAAGATGCTGCGTCTAAAAACTAATGGGACTGTCGTCTATTCCAATATTTATTAACAGTGATGATTAGGTTTTCACCAACTCAGTGGGTCATGTGATAAGTGTCTAAATTCAGGAAAGTCAGTGCTAGATAAAGAATAATTATTGAGCAGAACCTTCTTAATCAAATGGACCTTTAGTAACACAGAGAAAGTCAAGAACATCAAGAGAAAGAGGTGCAATCAACATTAATATTTATCAACAACCTGGGGGGTGCAAAATAGTCATAGGTGAAAGGTCATGGTAAGCTGACCTACAGTAGTAAAACTAAAACAAAAATTACAATATTTATTGACATCTTGTCTTTATTCATAGAACGTTGACAAAATGTGGACAAAAAATTTACATATTGAAGTTTTCATCTCAAAATCACCACCTGCTTTATCCCACCCAGTCTTTAACATCAAAATACAATTCCTGTCAAGTGGCTAGCAGCTAGCAAGACAATAAACTAACCTATTCTACGATTGGCTACTTGTCCCTATATCATTGATACAACATTTCAGACAACCAATCATGTGGCTTCTCTTAAAGTGTTACAAGGAATGATAGGCATAATTTAAATAGGCTTAAGAAACCCTGTACACTACAAGTAAAATCAGTTTCTGTACAGTGGTAGCCATGGTAACATTCTCTGGTCCCGCATCTTATTTTTTTAGGTTCAAGTTTATCAATAATAATAGATCATTATCAGAAACTTTTTTTTATTTATTTTTTTTTCTAAAAAGAGTGCAGCATTTACTAGAAATAATTTATGTACAAGGTGACTGGTATTATTTGAATAAGATTATACAATATTATACTGGCTAAGGTTGTATGAGCAGTTTTGTATGGTTTCAGTAATAATATTTGTACACATTTTTCATTTCAAAACAAATATCAGATTTAACCCTTTGAGTGGCAACATTTTTTCCCCTGCAAAATGTACATTATTTTTTTATGAAAATTTGGAATCAAATGAACATAATTTTATATTGGATACAGATCTTGATCAACATTTTGCAAACAAATTATGCAGACTGTGAAAGGTGACAAAAGTAGGCACTCAAAGGTTTAAAATAAAAAAAAAAAGGTAAATCACTACTTATCTTAGACAGTGCATTACCATATTTGAATTATTAAAAACATACCCTCTAATAGAGACACGTAAAAACCAACATTTGTTTACGTCTAATTTATGTTACTCGTACTTGCGAGGATTTTATGTAAGAGTTTGCACATGTGATAAAGCAAATATAGTAATTTCAACTGTAGGATTTGCATGCAAGATTACATAAAAGTTTATGTTTAAAATAAAACGATACCAAACAACCATAACCACACACTGCCATCTCCATGTTGGAATATTATCAGTTGATACAATCCAAACAGTCAGAGATAGCAATGAGCGTTTACATAAATTTTATATACAACCATTTACCTAACTAAACTTTTTAAATTTCTGTGTAACAGACCATGAAGTAATTTTAAAGACATTTAAGTTACAGGAAAAAAAAATAATCAGAAGCAAAAGTTTCTTTTTATCTATTTCCAAAACAAATGGAAAGAACCATCTGGTTTGGTGGTTAAAATGATGATATTCTGCAAACTTTGGTAAATTTACAGTAGAAACCATTTTGGTAGCCATGATGGATTTGGTACTTGTTGAACTCTGACCTTAGCTATGCAAATGAGCATAATCATATGTCTAAAAACTGCTATGTAGATGCTAATAAAAGATGAGATATACAGTATATGCAAATTGGTTCATAATGGGACCAAATAATTTGATTATTTTGTTGTAATTGTCAAATTTTTTCACTTTCTTTCAAATCTACTTGAGAATAATCGATCAAAATCTGTAAGGAATATCAAATTAAGTCTTTTTTGCTCAAAATTTTGAATTTATAGAACATTCTAGAATTCTTGCAAAACATTTTGGCGGGAAAACAACTCTCCAAAAGTAAGGCTCAGATTCAGCAAGATGTAATCAGGCTTATTACACAGTAATTCAAATGTTTTAATTCAAGAACCAGTCGTAAATTCTATTTTGTTTAAAAACTGAGAGTCGGAAATGATTCATTCTGCTTGGCAGTGGCAATTACTGAAGTTTAAAAATCAGAAATTTATTTAAAAATGACATGTCAAAAAACATCTCAAGACAACTGGAATGCTTTAAGCTAGTATCTAAAAGGAAGAGAAAAACATTTTAACTCACAACTTTGACCCATGCAGGACGAGAAAAAATTAAAATTTGAACCTTCAACTTTGACCCATACATATTTTCATTTAAAAAAATCAGTGCATCTCTTTAATTTTTATAATCCAAGTACAATGAATTGATAAAATCATTTTTTATATCTACCGGTAAATGTTTCAAAAATTTATTGAAATAAAGTTTTCTTTTACAAAAAATGAAATTGTATGCACTTGGTAAATTAAAAAACAAATACTGAATATGCTGGCCAGGGGCTTTGTTGAAACAATGAAAAATACACAGTATTACCAACAGGTAAATTTTCTCATTACAAATAGCATAATATCACACTAGTGTCCCTAGCAACAGATAACAACTATTGTCCCTAGCAACAGATACCAATTGCTCATGTTCCAATTGACAGATACAGGGAATAATGACTATATGCCAATTTTCAAAGAGATACTTTTGTAAAAATGAATAAAGGCAAATTAAAAGTGATTGGAGTTCAAAGAATGAACATTTTTTAACAACAAGTGATAGCAAGAACTTACAATGTTCATGACTAGACTATTTGCAATGAGAAATCTCCCAAAGTCAGTGTTAGGAATGAGATTATTAACATGGTGATAAAAGTACAGACATGTTTAACCCAGAGAATCAGAGTTTCTGATTCTCACAGCTCTTCTGTTGTATACATGCATCCTTGTCAGCAATTAAAATTCATAATGGTGACCTTTCACCTCACCGGAACTAGTCAAACCAAAATATTCATAGGCAAGTCAATGAGAGCTGTGAGGGACTATGCTATAGTCCAACAAATCTGGGTTTCTCCGTGTTAGTACAAACTTCATATGGTGTTCAATATTCGTCTTTAAAAAAAATCTGTGTATATACATGTTTAAAAGCATGGTTTCTCAAATGGAGGAACCAACTTGTCCCCAAAAAATGTTTATGTTTTAAGTGTCCTACCTACCCTACTATGGAATATATACAGGTCTGATTTGGCAATGAAGGGTAATACCATATATTTGGCAATGAAGGGAAATTTGTTGAAATTATGACAGTTTTAAAGAGCCTGGTGATCTAATTGAGTTTTTTTTAATTATAATTTTAAATAGTTACAAAATAAAATTTGTTACATGTTTTCACATAATCACTATATGAATGACATCTTCACACATGTAGCACATATTTCCATGTGATTATCATGTGAATAAATTGAATTTCAAATTGTATGTATGGCATTGTCAATGTGATACTGATATGGAGAATACATCGTTGCCACATGAAAATGATACATTTTGTATAATTATTATGTGGATGATGTCATGTGATCTCCAAGAGGTTTCTGATTGGGTAATATTGACAATATGTATGGTTCACATGGTTCCCACATGGATTATACTGAGCTGAGTTGTATGAAGACATTTTGTGTGGTACGCCACATGATATCACAAGCCTCTGATGTCCACATCGGAAGATAGGTAATTGAGTCGTAATTTTATGATCAATCTGCATTAAAGACACCACAGTCATTGTACCACAAGTTCAATATGGGTTACATTTCAATCCACGTAAAATTTGAACACCTACTACAGGATGACTGTGTTGCTTTGACTCGTCTTGGCATCTAGTGTTTGATTTCATACTTGGAGCAAAAAATTAACAGTTAATTGTATCTGGAGATCCAAACATATGTTATAAAATAGATTTGAAAGACAATGGAAGACCAAAATTAAAAAAAAAAAACAGAATATTTTATTAATTAATTTAGTTTAAAAATGTCAGACATAAGAGGCTGGTGTGTACAGAAAATGGTGTCCCAATAAATACTGTGACATTGTTACAATTGTACACAAAAAAAATTATTATTTTGGCAAATTTTTGTTATGTGAATGGACGGCTCCAAGCCTTGTGGTGGTCAATAGACTTGCCAACACATGTTCAGTTCAGTGCCAAACTGTGGTACAATTTAATCCTGCGAGTGACTGTACAATCTAATTTGGGATTACTTGCAGCTTTTAGAACAAATTGTATAAAATTATTGTGTAATGAAAACTGATAAAGTTTGATCTGAATAGTTCAAATCTATTTATAACCACTTCTAGCGTAAGAAATTTAAATAGGTATGCATATCACAGCTTTTCTTTAGTTACAAATCAAAACATTAGTAAATATGTATTTATAAACAAAATCTGTCGTATTCTTGAAAATTGGGCACAATTTTAAGCATTTTATATTGGAATGTCTAAAGGTCACTCACTCAGGTTTTAAAATGTTTTTATAAAGACACTTGATTTTGGCAGAAGAAGTGTACCACAGTTATGCACTTCCTTGGAGACCTAAAATTTGGAGTTTTATTACATAGGCACTTATAATTTCGCATTTTTTTTTTGGTGTTTTTTTTTTTTTTTATGTTTTTTACATGCAGTTAGGTAGCCATGGTAATATTACAATATTTGTGTGCCTTGTGGTGATAAATAAGTGATAAAGGAAAACAGGCCATGAGGTCAGAGGTCGTCACGTGGAACCTACCATTTCCCCAGATGTGGTTGTAGCTGCAGAAGTAGGGTGATTACCATATCCCATATTAGGATGATCCGAATATATCCCTTGTTGTTCAGAGCTGAACCCTCCAGTAGATGATATCACATGGCGTAGTCCCGGCACCTTTGTTGGAGCCACAACACATTAGATTAACAATTTTATTTTGAGGGCGACTGAACAGGTCAAAATGTATATAGAAACAAGAGAGACAAGAAAATGGAAGATGAAAATGTTGACAGATACATGAGATAATGTACTTTTTTGTTTTTAAACTAAACAAGACCTCCTTGTAGGGTTTAATATAAATTAACACCAAGAGATCTTATGGTTTCTAGTTATTAGTAACCATGGATACAAAGTGCAAGAATTTATGATGAAAACTGTGCTTCTTAAATGTGCAAAACTTCTGAAAAAGTGTTCTCACTGAACAAAAGATTACAGAGAAGTAATAGTTTGAAGGGAAAAAAGTTCAAAAATACACTTAGTGTTGTTTTTTGGTTAAAAAAGAGAAACTAAGATATTAACATAGTGAGAAATGTTATGGTATACCCTTCATGTTTGAACTCAATAGGGCACCCCCCTCTAACAGTATATGGGGTGAACCATTGCCATTTAAGGGGTGGAAAGTCAGAAACAAGAAGTGCACAAGACAAAAGAGAAACTCTCAACCCTGTCACTTCTCTAGCTTGTAATAGACTTGATCAAGTTTAGTTTACATGAATTGGGTCAAACCATTATGGAGGGAGGGGTATCAAGATCAAGATTTACAGGGGTGAAATGCTCGGTGATACCTGTGATTGTACGTTAGCTCCAACTTGTGCCCCTGACGCTGAATAACTATCTCCATTAACCTGCTGCATGCCCATGAACATGTCTGGCTGTCCCATTATCTGTGATTGTGATGTCATTGGGTAGGAGCCTGAGGATCCTGTAAGATATAATATGCGCATAAATTAAAAATGGAGCATAAACTTGATACAGCATGCAATTTGAACATCCACAAATATTTTTGTCATAAATTGACCAAAAAAAATCTGGTACACCATGTTTATTCAAACATTTTAGATTACAGATTAGCAAGCAGGTTCGGAATTAGGAGAAGGACACTAGTACCCATGGAAGGATAGCTTGTAAATGTGATAGAAATGCGTTTCTGATTTACCACAGAATACTATGCACTGTGGTCCCACATTATTCCCATAGAATTTTTATAATAACAAATTCTGCACCAAAATTTGGGTTGACATGAGTATCAGTGATTCAAACTAATATTATGTCAGGTGAATGGTGTTACTGACAGAGAAATACCTGTAAAACATGTCTTTTTCGCGAGTATGTCTTTTTCGCAAATTTAGCGAGAGAACTGATTCGCTAATTCAAGATGTCGCTAATAACTTTATTATAAATTCAAAATGGCTGCCAAACAAAGAAATCAACAATGACAAGAGAGATTCGCTAAATCAACATTTAACTATTACGTCATTTTACCACAATTCACTAAAATTGCATGCCACTTTTTCAACATGTTTTACAGTATACACAAACAATGAGTCAGAATCTATTCCCCTCTTCTATCATCTCCATTCTATAGCTAATACATTTTTGGTAAATAAAAATTGTCTTTCTGTCCTTTTTTTTTGAAAAAGACAAAGCAGATCAATAAACATTTGCATGTACTAGTAGAAACAAAACAATATGATTGGTTAAATTAAACCATGTGACCCAATTTTAATCTATATAATGGTATCCATAAATCCTGGGAAAGTGAGAAATGAAAAGCCATTGGTTGAAAGATATCACATGATCAATCTATATATGGTATCCTTCATCTCTAGGAATGCAGGAAACCGAAAACAATTGGTTGAAAAAAAACATATGATATGATTCTATATATGATATCTTTCAAACAATGGGGATACACGAAACAGAAATCTATTAGTTTAAAGAAACTACATGATGTGAATCCATATATGATATCCTTCACCGGATGGGGATGCAGGAAACAGAAAGCCATTGGTTGAAAGAAACTACATGATGTGAATCCATATATGGTATCCTTCACCGGAAGGGGATGCAGGAAACAGAAAGCCATTGGTTGAAAGAAACTACATGATGTGATTCCATATATGATATCCTTCACCGGATGGGGATGCAGGAAACAGAAAGCCATTGGTTGAAAGAAACTACATGATGTGATTCCATATATGGTATCCTTCACCGGATGGGGATGCAGGAAACAGAAAGCCATTGGTTGAAAGAAACTACATGATGTGATTCCATATATGGTATCCTTCACCGGATGGGGATGCAGGAAACAGAAAGCCATTGGTTGAAAGAAACTACATGATGTGATTCCATATATGGTATCCTTCACCGGAAGGGGATGCAGGAAACAGAAAGCCATTGGTTGAAAGAAACTACATGATGTGATTCCATATATGGTATCCTTCACCGGATGGGAATGCAGAAACTAATTTTCTACCTGGAAGATATTTAGTCTTATAAACTACAGTAAACTTGACTATAGCATGTACTTGTTTACATTTTGTATGTATACACAGTGACTGATTGGCGAAGAACAAGTTCTACGCACCTGCAGATACAAACAGTATTATCGCTGCCATAAACAAAATACTTGTTTCTTGGTTTATGAAACAAAGTTCGGTCACTTTTGTCACAGTAGAACATTAGATAGTGATGATTTATGCACCCTTTTTTGTGTCTGGCATGTTAGTTGGCAAAAATGTAAACAAATGATGCCCAAATGCACTAGTTAAACTAAACTAAATTACCAGTTTGTTGAAAGAACCCATCGAGTTGCTTAGTTACCAGTATACAATGCATAAAGTGACAGAAGCAGAGGAGAGAAAACCCAACAAACGAACATGCAAATTTTGATAGTGCAGTTACAGACAGTGCCATTATAACAAGAGGATAGATAAAATGACAATGTAAAGTAGTCGTGGTCAGATTCTTAAAGTTATTTATAGTCATGGATTAAACATTCACAATACATCACTTTCCAGGTTTGATTGCCAAAAAGTTGTCATTATATTTGCCAAATTAGAAAAAACTTTTGGGTATTTGTTTTATTGTGGTTCCAAATCTTTGAGCTATAAAGTAACTTCTCAAATTCTACCCACGATGAGATGAACTAGTACTTTGTGGCTGACCAGTAGGAGAGTGCTGATTGGTTGCTGCTGCTGCTGCAGCTGCCGTCTTAGCTGCGTATAAATTCGCCTCTTCTTGCGCTTTACCTATGTTCTTCTTGTATCGAATACGTTTATTACCAAACCAATTTGACACCTGAAAAATAGCCAAAACAAGGGTTCTGAAAGTTAGTCACATGACAATCACGTGACTTTGTGGTAAATATACTGACATCACATTTCAGCACAATTTGTTGACACTAACAATGTCAACCAAGTTCTTATTTATACTTCACCCTTCATAGGGGGCATATCCCCCTACAATACAATGGTATAGTCCAATATCTACTCACCTGAGCTACTGTAATTCCACATTTCCTTGCTAGTTCTTCCTTTGCCTCTTCACTAGGGTAGGGGTTACTCAGGTGAGAGTAAAAATACTCATTTAAAACCTCTGTAGCTTGTTTACTGAAATTCCGCCTTTTTCGTCTGGAAATAAATGAGAATAATTCAATGAAATTAAATGAAAAATGTGTTACTAAATTTATCTACTCATAACACAGAAAAGAACAGGTAACTAACCTATTTTTGTCTCTGTTTAAAAGGATTTTTTCCCCTTTTTATACTATTGTGTTTAATATTTAAAATAAAGCTTCATAAAGGGATTTCTCATTTGTGAACCCACCAAAATAGTGCAGAATACAATTTCCTGGTACAATACAAATGAGAATGATTGTGCAACATTTTAAAAGCACATATTGTACGAGAAAAGACCCTGTTCCGGATATTATATAGTTTACAGACTACACCAGCTTGATTTGAAATCAGTAAGAAAACAAGCAGCCTTTCGGCTGAGATAGCTCTGCTGTTTGCAAAGCATATTTTAATTAAAAAACTGAAAATATCATTAGAAAATGAACAAATCTGGGAGAGGTCTACCTGTAGTACCTATATGTATAATATCAAAGCAATCGGACTTGTGGTTTACAAAAAGAAGTCAAAAATATCACTTTTTACCAAAAATATTCATCAAATTTAGAGAATTAATTATATCATCACAAAAATGAACAAATCTAAGAGAGGTCTGCCCAAGGTATTTATACACCAAGTATCAAAGCAATAAGAACTGTAGTTTTCAAGAAGAAGTTGAAAATGTAAAAAGTTGACACAGATGACGAACAATCACTCATATGATAAGTTCCGCTTGACAAAGTCGACAGCGGAGCTAAAAATGAGTACGTAGTCATAGAAATGAGTGTCCTCTCAATATCATTATGCCTCAAAATGGTGTCCATTTTGCCACAAACTGTGTCAAATTACAAACTCTGATGCAACTAGTTGAAAATCAATTTCTGATTACTCCACTCTCTAGTATCAGATCTGGAAGTATAATTATACCAAGTTTTCATGACCAGCTGTGAATAAACTTCTGCATTCCCAGTACTTGTGATCAACAAAGCTTATTCATAAGCTGAATGAAAAATTTTAATAGTGAACCAAGACGACAAGCCATCAAGACAAAGCCAAGGTTTTTAGATCTTTTTAAGTATGCTTTTGGTCAAAAAAAGCTAAAAATGCATACCACATCACAACTCCCTTTGTGCCTTTGACTGATTTTCACCAAACTCACTACAGAGATGTATCACTAAAGCATAGAGATGCACATCAATTTGGGATTTGTACACACTACACAAGCTAAAATTAAACTTGGCCAAGAGCTCAGACTGGTTCAAAAGATAGGATGAGTTTTAGTTTAATCACAACAATGACAAAGACAGACATTTTCTCTTCATTTGATGGAGACCAGGCAAGGTAAAAATTCTAGATGTGCTGGCATTCATGATGACCAATCCCGTGTTTTCTCATCATACAAATATCCAGACAATTACATATTCAGACACTCATCATATCTCAAGCAGAAACAATAAATTCATGTCTTCCGCTTGGTTTCCCTTCATCAAATGTTTAGAAAGGTCTATAAAGCTTTGCATAATTTGCTTGATAAACCTTAGAACAAGAACAAATATGAAATCATACAAACCAATGTAGAGATAGTCAAATAAATCACAATAGTGCATTTTTAAATGTCAGTCACTTGTACTGGTTAAGATCGCACCACATTTATTTTCAAGGAAACTTGACGAACCTTTTAGAAGTATTAAAACCATGTCCTTTGGAATTATTACTGCGTGCAGTAGTTGAGTAATTATACACAAGCCTAAGGACTCTAATACAGGCTGGTCTCAAGAGTCTAGGGAGTCCATTCATGCTGGTTTAAACACTAAACTAGGAAGTTTCTTACATTTTGAGCATGATAAGTTTTACTGTGTTCTGCGTTCATTCTAGACAAGTTTCACTGCGTTCATTCTAGACAAGTTTCACTGCGTTCATTCTAGACAAGTTTCACT